CTGGGCTGCACACCAGAGCCACCAGTGGCTCTTGGTTCCGACACATTCCCTTCAGGGCCTGCTAGACTTGTGATTTTGTCCCGCACCCTGTCATCGTACACATCTATCCATTAGTAAGATATTACCCACTGCTCTTGCCCTTGTGAGCATCCCACAGTTCTTCACTCTCCTCCAACTTTTGCATACCTGCTCTGGCTGTTTTCACCACTCACTTGGACTTAATTACTAGCCTTAGCAATGAGTGCCAAATCCACTCCTGGCCTGGAAAGTGTTCAGTCCCTTTGTGTACAGATGGAAAAACAAACAAAAACATTTTAAAATCCCCTTGGAGGAAGTAAAGAACCTCTCCTATTATGGTTATGAAGCTTCAAGTGATGGCAGCTCTTGAGACACGCTTGTTACAACAAGAATGTCTTGCTATTAGCCAGGGAAAGCTTAAATCCCCAAACCGATACCAAAAAAGTGACTCGGTGAGATTACAATCCCCAGAGCACTAGAACGGACATGAGGGATTTAAACAAACATTTTATTTAAGGAAGAAAAACCAAACTGCAACTTTGTACTCATAAAATGAATGCACAAAAAATGTAACTGTGTAATGCAGCAGGGCTTGTATGACAAGAATGTGCAGATATTGTATGTGAAACCATAACAAAATTTATGTTTTAGCAGTTTATTTGCAAGCCCACCCTTTTAAATAACTGAGCAATGCTGCGATTTTAAATGATCATCAACTACATTTTCAAACATATAGAATATATTAAATCCATACATCATCTTAAAGAAATTATATTATAGAATGTGATTTGATGAGCTTTGGCATTCCAAAGTAATCTCGAAATACAGTCCATACAACATATTCAAAGTAAACTTAGTAAATTAAAACCTGACAATATGGCAAAAAGAAATCCGTACAGTTCCTAATCCACCTCACTTCCTGGTCACCAAACCCATACCTGATCAACTTATCCACAAGGATGCTGTGGGAGACGGTGTCAAATGCTTTACTGAAATCAAGATAAACCACATCTACCGCTCTACCATCATCTATCCACCTAGTAATTTCCTCATAGAAGGCTATGAGGTTAGTCAAACATGATTTACCCTTGATAAAACCATGTTGACTGCTCTTGATGACCCCCATGTCCTTGATGTGCCTGGAGATAGTGACAAGAACAAGTTGTTCCATCACCTTTCCAGGGATGGAGGTGAGGCTGACCGGTCTATAGTTACCCGGGTCCTCCTTCTTGCCCTTCTTGTAGACTGGAGTGACATTTGCTATCCTCCAGTCCTCAGGCACCTCACCTGTTGCCCATGATTTACTGAAGATGATGGAGAGTGGCCTAGCAATGACCTCCGCCAGCTCCCTCAGCACCCTTGGGTGCATTCCATCTGGACCCATTGATTTATGGATGTCCAGATTACTCAACTGATCCCTAACCCAATCTTCATCTACCATGTCAAACTCTTCCTCTATCTTGACTTCTTCTGGGGCTATATGAATCTGGGGCTCATAGGGAGACCCTGCAGGAGTGAAGACAGAGGCAAAGAAGGCATTCAGCACCTCTGCCTTCTTTATATCCTCTGTCACCAGGGCTCCCACCTCATTCCTCAATGGGCCAATATTGCCTCTATTGCTAGTTTTGCTAGCTATGTACTTGAAAAAGCCCTTTCTATTATCCTTAACCTGACTTGCAAGGTTAAAGTGTAATTTTGTGCTCAAAGTTACTCTCTTCAGTCCAAATTACATTCAACTCTAATCTCCTTGGGATAACTGAAATACTGTAGGCATCGAAGTTACATGAAAATATTCCATGAAAAAGTAACTCAAATAAGGACAAGTCAAATAAAATGGAAAACCAAAAAGGATTAAACTGTGTCTATGTGATATTTAATATACATGTGTAAACCTGGAACACTAAAAACAAGAAAAATATTTTTCAAGATCCATTACCACATGTGATTAGATGTATTTTCCAAGGGAATACTCTGTCTAGTGGACACAGCACTCAATGGGCCCTTTGAGTGTCTGAACTTTATTACCAGACCTCTGCCACTGCCATGATCTTAGGACAAGTTACTACATGACTAACATTCCTGCCTATAAAAATCATACTGACCTCCTTTGAGGTCCTTCTTTGAGTCTTAACTCTCCTTGAGAGCTGACACTCTGACTCCAGGGGGCCAGATCAGACACTGATTAATTAAAAATCTGCAGTGATTACCACTGCCAATAATCTGTCCATTTCTGTCAACTTTTATTCTTAAAGCTTATCTTGAATCTAGCTGGCATCTTTGAGGAAAGAATCAATATAAACAGTGATCTATAAATATATAAAAAAGACAGAAGTGACCTGCCCTAGACAAATTGTTTCTCAATGATATTAAAAGCAAGAAAAAATTCCCAATTTTAAACTGACTAACCCTATAATGTTTTCAAAATACTTCTGAAACAGTCATGCTAGAAAACATTGTATTGTCAGGATAGCTAAGCCTAGCTAGGGCTACAAGTTGAAATAATGCAACATCTTGTTTAAGAAATGCAGAACTAAGCACCACAACCTTTTTCCTACAGGAAGTATGCAACTATTTGGCAGTAATTAGGAAATGCCTGAGGTAATTAAATATTTAACTAGTACTGTTGTGACACTAGGTTTCCTATGGCTGGTTTTGGGTAACTCCTTCCCACTAGTTCAGTTGTCCATTAGCTTAATGGATGCCAGGAATCTGTCCTTCCATGGCAACATACACACCAATAAACACGGGAAGTAGCCACTCACCAAAGCTTTACTTCAGACTTTCTCAATAAACTCAGCAAACTACCAATAACCATCAAGATTCCCTCTACTTTGTTACCTGCAGTAACACACTACCACAGAAGTCAGCTCAGAATTTGCTCTCAAAAGGCAAATGACAGAATCAGCACCACTATGGTCCCATATGGAGAAGTATTAGTATCCTGAAATACTTCTCTTGGCACCTCTGTTAAAGTCATGCACAAACACAGAATTCCTAAATACAGTTCTCTTCTGCTTCTTACCTCACAGTTAATATTAGACCAGAGATGGACCCTTCCAACAAAACGTGATTTTACAAAATTTTCTAGCTCAAATTACTGCCTTGTATTCAGGTTTTATTCATCAGAATCTCATATATTGAACAGACAATATTAACCATATTGCTGATTTTACCTGGGGGAAGCCAAGAATAAAGTTTCATCATATGACATGATATGAACTTGACTCCATTACAAGCAATAGATGAACACCACTAGAGGAAGCATTTATCAAGTATGGACAGACATATTTTAACTCTAGCAACATGTGAAAAGCAACCTACAAATCCTCTTAGATAGCCCCTCCCCAAGAAACACTTCATTAAAAGAGAACTTAACTAATTAAGATAATTAACATTAAGATGATGGGCAGAGGCAAGTGGTCATAAATACAGAAGGAATTGGAAGAATCCTGTTTAAGAATCTCTCTTTTTATGGTTTTTTTTTTAGAAAGCTGTATTGACGTTTTACACAGCTTTTTCACTCATTTTACATGGAGTGGAGATACTGAATCACCTTAGGGAAGTGAAAAACCAGAAGGAACTATAATTGACTTATAGATACCCTCTTTCCCTCTCACACAAAGAAGGAGCAAATTATTGCTGCTCAAAAAAAAGCAATGCATTTTCCCCATCCTTGTCAACACACTGGTGAAAGGGCTACAGGGGACATAGTCACCAGCCTTACGTGCCCAGCCTTTAAAATTCATGTCCCAACACCCAGTCCTGCACACTGCCCCACAACATGCAGTGACTCAAGGATAGGGACAATCTAACCACTAGGATTTAGCTGATTCAGATGTGAAAATCAAGGGATTTATGAATATAGACATCTAGAAGAGAGCAAAATAAACATCTATACTCCCATTTAAGTGTCAAGACCGTGTTTCTGAACCTGGTACATGCTAGGCTGATTGTCAGATACACACAGATGGACTTCTTGTTGTGGTGAAGCCCATGGCAAAACCCACACAGGACTCCGTGCACTATCCCTCCCTCTTCCTGCAGTATATGCTGAAGAATAGGATGCTGCCATCAATTACACACTCTCATCCCCAACCTCTGCTTTTCTGTTAAACTACAAGAAGCAAAATCTTCTGGTTTATATAATTAAAAACACTGTCCTATATCAAGAAGAAAATTTTAACATTGTTAATTTTAGAATATATATTCTTCTAACTTTGATTCCACTTAATCTGTAGTGTTGAAGAGTCTGAGCAACACATTCCTAAACCCATCAAGTTTCATCATGCATAAATGTATTTACTATAGCACAGGTACAGAGGGCTCATTGAAACTCTCAAATGCCTTCAACATTTCTTCTTTTAAACAGAACACATAACATGACAGTACAGAAACATCTTTCTGGAATGTATTGGGCTCATGTGGCATGACTTTTGTAGCAGGTGCTTCTGTGAGAAACTTACCCCATGTCTGATAGAGCCAATGCCAGCTGGCTCCAAGAGGGACCCACTGCTGGTCCAGGCTGAGGCAAATAACAGCAGTGGTAGCACTGGGGTCTGTTTTGCCTGTGACAGGAATCTCCCTGTCTTTATCAAGACCCACCAGTCTTTCATTATATTTACTCATTCCTGTCCAGCTTAGGACAGGGGGATGATAGAGCAGCTTGGTGGGTACCTGGCATTCAGCCAGGGTCAACCCACCAGAGAAACACATGAAACCTCCAGGAAGTCAGTCAAGGTTTTTGTATATGGAACAGTCTCACCAAGATCATTTTAACACTGACTCCGAAATCCTTCTCAGACAGGTTCACAAAATAACAGCCTTTAGGACAGATTTCTGTTCAGCCTCTACCTAACAAAAAACCTTAGGATTTAAGTTCCAGGAGCGAAAGGATTACTGTGAAATGAGTTCCCAACATGTAAACAAAACAGTTTCTAAAACACAAGAACATTTCAGAATTGAGGTGGAAGATGTGTGCATACCTATAGCTGTCTTCACTTCCTGAATCCTGCTCTTCATCAGAGTCCTTGTATTTATCAGGATCTGGAAGAGTACTGGGGTCAAACTCTTCTTCGCTTCCACTGTGAGCGAGAAAGGCCACTGTTTCCTCTTCAGCCTGCCAGATGACAAAAGGAGAGTTACAAGACAAGCAAACAAGTCTACGTTACTTGCCACAACCCCATTAATAGGAACATCATAACAAAAGCCATTGCCCTCAACCACAGTTGAAGGCCACTGCTATTCTAGCCAGGAAGATGGAATAGTTTCTGTCACCATCAGTGCTCTCCCCTGAGGCTCTTTGTTAAAACTTGAAGAAATTATACTCAAAAAGGAAGCACAAAGATTTATGTTCAAATACTACCTTCCCAATATTGTCAGCTTAAATCTACCCATCTAAAAGAGATTTGGGCAGGAAGTAATCAAAAGTCATCTAAAGGAAAGTGTTTAAGTAATATGAAGATTTACTGTCTCTCAGAAACAAAGTAGCAAAAAGATACGAGCTTGTGGACACATTAATCACTGCTGTAAGGTCTATTTAATGAAATACTCTGATTTAAAAGTCATCCGAGTGACCTTGCATTTAAAATCCAAAATGCTGCTTAAGCTGAAATAACTGGTCTAATGGAGTTTCAGCCACCCACCACCAGCGATACACGTTCTTCAGGCTTCTTCCCAGACTCCCTCATCCCTCCTCTCTGGGCTCAGCTTCCCTCCACCCCTGTAGCATGTCTTGGGACAAGCTGCTGCTGTTGCCAAGTTTCTCCAAGCTGCAGAATGCTCCACTAATAGCTTAACAAAGAGAGCATAGAAGATGCTGCTCCACAAAAGTCTTGGATAATATAATACATCTGACTGCTTCTGCAGGTGCAGGTTCTGCATCACACAGTCCTGAATTGATAGCACCATTTTTATCTATTTTTGCTAACAGGCATGAAGAAAACTGACAGACAAACAGGAGGTACAGAAAAATGCAAACAAAAATCTTACAGGCATTTCTAATCAATGTGAACCCTAGATCTATGCATATTTATGCTGGAAAGCAAAATGAAAAGTGAAGAAACTATAATTAACAGACATCTCTACCTTTTGCTTATATGTCTAATCAACACGCACACAGCTGAGTTTCCAAAACAGTACTCATTTAAGTGATCTTAATTCTACAAATAAGCTTACATTTTTAAATATTTAAAGCTCAGTTTTGTTCTGATTTCTCACTATTCCCATCTATCAAGGGGACATGGTTTAGTTGGAACGGTGGTATTGGGTTGACAGTTGGACTTGATGATCTTAGAGGTCTTTTCCAGCTTTCATGATTCTATGGTTTTTAAGGTAATAGTATAGCTGGGCGTATAAAATCATTAAAAGCATTGTCAGACTCACCAGCACTCTAAACTGCCTAACATAACCACTGACTGAAAAGCATGCTGATGACAGGACACTTCAGGTGCAACTTCACAACAAAGTTGGCTTTGATTTTATGGGTTTTTATAGGTTATTTTGCTTACCAAAAATATCTTCTAGCTCATCTTTTAGCACAATATTACAGAGTACTTCTACTTTAACAGAAAACTATTTGAAGGTCACCTTCTTGTAACCTGAATTTCCATATTTGAAAAATATTCTGCATTAAATTATAGTATATTTCAGTTTCTCTAAATATTAAATATTTGCCCTTTACTTGCCTCTCCCATTGCATCTATTATTTCAATACAATTGGTGCATACCCATTATATTGTTGGGTTTTTTTAAAGAGAATTAAACATGTCAACACATTGGTCCAAAAGACTAAGGCTCTCTAAAAACACCCCAGAAAATCACAATGCAGAACACTGTTTTTAAACTTACATTCTCCACACATAATCCTTAGACACTCTCTTCACGCTACCTCTTTCTCTCTACTTTCAGGCTCCCAGCAGCCATGGCTGTCAGCTTAAATACAGAAAGTAGTTCTCTAAAGTGGTCTTCATGTTCAAACATTTCAATGCAACAGTCTTCTCCAGGGAACCTGAGCATGTGTCCACAAAGAAAGTGCCTACACGAGGGAATTTTATCTGTATTGCTTTATGGCACTTTTGAACAAGCCTGAAGGAACTGCCTCCTTTGCTGTGACACAGCAGAGGTGTCCCACCACCACCACCGCACTCAGAGACTGGGAGCAGAGATCACTCTTTGCTTAGTGACTGGTGTATTTTTCAAGAAGGAACAGATAAACAGCATCCCTGTCATGAAACAATCAGAATGGAAACCCCCTAAGTCACATAATTCGGCTCTTTTTTTTGGAGTAACTCATTTGTATTCCGTGCATGAGAAACAACAAAACTAGAATTAAGCACTTGTCCTGTGACAAGACTTTCATGTTTTCACTCTACTGCTTAAGTCATGTAGTCTAAACGCTTGTACAAAATACATACATAAAAGTAACACATTTTCAGGGAGAGAACTATTAATCAAATTAATCCCTTGCAGTGAAAGTTATTTTAACTACTACTGGTGTTTCTACATACAGAAGCGAGGGAAAAAAAAACAGAAGTAGCACTGCTGCTCACAGCATTGACTCCATTGCTTGCTGTGAGAACAAGACCTTGTCTGCCTTCATCCAGGACCTATTTATCAGCAGCAATAGTCACATTTTTAACACAAATAACAAGTAACCAGCAAATTGGAAAGTGTCTGACTCATGCTGCACACTTCTAAGGGTCATTTATTACTAATTTTTTTTTTTTTTTCTGTCAAATCCACCTTCCCCAAGCCATTAATCCCTTTCTACAACATTTTGCAAAACATAATTTCTGCCCCAAAGAGCCAGAGTTAAGGATTACCTAGAAGACAGGAGAACAGAGGAATATAGGCTGATGAAGGACAAGGAAGTCAGCTAGGTGGGGAAGATGATGAGCAACAGACGTGACACAGCAGGAGATCTGCCCTCTCCTATTTCCACGTATTCCCACATTCTGGAGCAGCTTTTTTTAAGTGTTAGGAAAATCTGCAGCCAAAAAATTACCGAGGTAGTGGTTGAAAAATAAGCAAGTGAATATATGGCAAAAACCGGTGAAAACTAAGCTCTTGATAGAAACTGGTAGATGAAAGGCCATGAAGGGTGCTGGAAGTTAAGGGCCTGGGGAGACACATGAAGACAGGTAACTTCACAGCAGCATTTTGAATAGATACTAAAGGAGCACAATGGTATTCCTAAAGGAAGGTGGAGAAGACACTGCAGAAGTCAGAACAGAGAATCATAATACTCTGTGATAACAAATATATCTATGTGAACTATGAATAGAAAAGGCATGTCTTAAAAATACTAAATAGGAAGAACAAGAAAGATTTATATGAGGCAAAGTCTTTTAGACCACTTAATTGAAAGAAACACATTTTTTCAGGTCTAAAATAATGTAAAACAACTTTAAAGAACAAAAAAACCCGCAAAACACCACAAACCAGAAACAAATTAAGGATAATTGCTGAGAGCTATTGTTACTCAGGGAATTGTGATAAAATGTAGTATCATGTCTGCAATAGGGCTGGGGATTGTTAGTACAGGAATAAGCTACAGAAGGCCCCTCTTTGGTAAAGACAGCATGTAATTTGTCATCTGCAGAAAATCAAAGGACAAAAGGAGGATTCGGAAGGATTTAGATAAGTGACCATGGCAATGCTAAGGCATAAACTAAAGTGACAGATAGTGGTGATGCTCACAGTGACAGTGAGAGAAGATAAAAAAGATAGACCTTTTTTCTTGGGAATTGCCTAATCCATGAAACAAGGCCAGTGCGAAAGTGGGAATCAAAGCTGAAGAGGAAAGAACTGTTGAGGCAAAGGTGAGAGGGTCAAAGAGAGGAAGATTATGGAGAGATCGGATGGAGATGACAGAACGATGACAAAGGGAACCATGGTGGAGAGAAGACCCAATTGAAGCTATGTAGAAAAAGGGAAAAAGTAGGAAAAGAAAAGAGTAAGAGGACATGAGAACGGCACTGGAGCTGATTGAGAAGGAGGGAGAAAAACAGTGAAGAGGGAGAAGAGATCGCAGCAGGTACAGAGGAATTAAATCAAGAGCAAACAGAACGAAGGAACACGCAGCCTGAAGGCACCTCTTCACCTGGCAAATGGCAAAGCCATCACTTTTTCACCAAACAATACAGGTGTTTAGAGTTTACATGGGCTCAAAAAGAAGTAGGTAGGACACAGTAATAAAAATCTGTCACGGGATGGTAAGTACCGCAGTACTGTGCCTTTGTCACTGCAAGTCTCTGAGCCGCAGATCTCTTCAGCCAGGGAGCGCAGCAAGATCAGTTTAAAAACTACTCTGCAGGTACGACTGCAAGTTTTCCTGCTAACCAACTAGAAAAAACAGTCAGGGAGAAGGGAAGAAGGTCACTCCCATTTCAATAGGTAACCATTTATGGAAGCAATTTTTCCCCCCCTTGCTATACTGATTTCTATCAGTCTTGAAAGGCTTCTTGCACAAATATCAGTTTATTAAATGAATGGTGAAGAGGACTATCACCTCTTTCTCACCACAAGAAAAAAAAAACAAGACTTGAAAAACTGCAGTGAGGGGAAAGTTGAAAGGTAAGGCAATTTTCTATCAAAAGCCTAAGCCTGTGCATAACTATATTCATCAAATATATCAGTTCATTGAGGAACCCACCCTGTACCACCTCAAACAGTCCTTGGGTTTTGTAGTGCTGCCAACATGTTTTATCCTATTTCCACAGTGACTGAGTAACAAGTTCTGGTTTTAGAAATTGAAATACAAGTGGTATACAAATACTAAGAGTAGAAGATCTGGCACTCATCTGTCGGTTGGTGTAATTAGCATATTATAGATTTCTAACTGATTTCTTGCTACTTCCTCGAAGTCCCTATTTGCAGCAAATCTCAAACATGCTGAAGGTATCTTCACAAATTTTAACCCAGGAAATAGCAATTTTCAACTAAGGACATACTGTACCCTACAGTTATTCATTCACTTGCCTGTTCCTTTCAACAACATCTGAAAAATCTTTATACTGCATAAATAATACATTATATCCATAACAACAGGATGCCATACAGTGTATGATTGATTACCTTGGCCTTTAGCTTTGGTGGGAATAGCTTTTGTGAAACATG